CTCCCCGCGTTGGCGTGGGTTTCCTCTGGGTGCTCCGGTTTCCCCCACAGTCCAAACACATGCGGTACAGGTGAATTGGGTAGACTAAATTGTCCGTAGTGTATGAGTGTGAATGAGAGTGTGTGAAGATGGGGTGCAGCTGAAAGTGTATCCACTGCATACAACATGTGCTGGATAAGTTGGCGGTTCATTGATCAACATGATCAACATCAACAGCCTGAGGTATCAAGACGTTTGTGCTGCCCATTACATTACAAACCACAGGAGAGGGACAATTCTCCAGCAGGATAGCGCTCCTCATACTCCAGCCTCCTCATCAAAGCTCCTGAAAGCAAAGAAGGTCAAGCTGCTGCAGGATTGGCCAGCCCAGTCACCAGACATGAACATTATTGAGTGTGTCTGGAGTAAGATGGAGGATGAGGCATTGAAGATAAATCCAGAGGATCTCGATGAACTCTGGGAGTCCTGCATATTGATCATATTTTATTTAGGTCAAATAATTTTAATCTAGAGGCCTTTGCCTTTCATATAAGCCACTTCTGATACCAAATGATCCACTAGAAGTCAACTTTAAATTTGTTGTCTTTAAAACTTGGATAGGCGACCACATTTTGTCAGGTATTGAAGAGATATATTGCAAATATATGTCAATCATTCTGCCTTTAGTTCTATAAATATTTTACAAAACAAATATTTTACAAAACAAAGCTGCCTAAATATATGTAAATATACCACTTTCTCTGTATGTAGAAACGATAAACGAAAGGTGTGTTAAACTCATTATAGTGACTGCCAAAGCCCTGTGACATTGTGAAGTGCGCATGTCTGGGGCGGGGCCAAAGGTGTCTTTACTTAAACGGAGGATCCGCTGACAGACACTTTCACCTCAGTGTGTGCAGAGCTGCTGGATGCGCTGGGCGGAGCTGAAGGTCCTGCTGCACTCAAGGACACTCGCTCTCCAGCAGCTGTGTGTCGTCTTCACACACACACACACGCACACATACACACACTGCAACAAGTATGAGCCTTCATTCAGTCCCCCATGTATAAATAGCACAGGCGGAGCTG